ATTGATATTGCTGAATCCTTCAGATGATCAGAAACAGAAAATACCCAACATTCCAAGGAAGCAGCCTCATGGTGATGATTTTCCCAGTGACGCGTAGCCTACAGAACATTGTTTTGCACACCAAACGTTTGGTGAGGTGATGTGCCCCAAAAATTTCAGTGTTGATCATCAATTTTCTCAGCATTTTTCCCGAGAGCGTCTGAGCGCAGGGTTCTTCCAATAGTGGGGGTCTGTAAAACATCTTCTCATCTTCACACCTTCTCATCTTCACATCCTCTCATCTTCACATCCTCTCATCTTCACTTCTTTTTATGTTCACATCCTCTCATCTTCACATCCTCTCATCTTCACATCCTCTCATCTTCACATCCTCTCATCTTCACATCTTCTCATCTTCACATCCTCTCATCTTCACATCTTCTCATCTTCGCATCTTCACATCTTCTCATCTTCACATCTTCTCATCTTCACATCTTCTCATCCTCCCATCTTCTCATCCTCCCATCTTCTCCTCATCTTCACATCTTCTCATCCTCCTATCTTCTCCTCATCTTCACATCTTCTCACATCTTCTCACATCTTCTCACATCTTCTCACATCTTCTCACATCTTCTCATCTTCTCATCTTCTCACATCTTCTCACATCTTCTCACATCTTCTCATCTTTACATCTTCTCATCTCACACCTTCTCCTCTTGCCCTCTTGCCCTCTTGCCCTCTTGCCCTCTTGCCCTCTCCTTCTTTTCTATTTCTTTCTTGAAGGCGGGAGCAAGGGCAGTGGCAACGAGACGGCACGAAACGCAACCCTTTCGCACGAAATGAGGTTTGATCGTCAAAAACTGGGGTAAAATTGCGATTTCAAGTCGTCCGGCGCAACCCTTTCGCACGAAATGAGGGTCGATCGTCAAAAACTGAGGTGAAATTATGATTTCAAGTCGTCCGGCGCAACCCTTTCGCACGAAATGAGGTTTGATCGGCAAAAACTGAGGTGAAATTGCGATTTCAACTTGTCCCGCGCAACCCTTTCGCACGAAATGAGGTTCGATCGGCAAAAACTGCGGTAAAATTGCGATTTCAAGTGCGATTTCAACTTGTCCCGCGCGACCCTTTCGCACGTCCCTGTCGCACGAAATGAGGTTGGATCGCCAAAAACTGAAGTAAAATTGCGATGTGTGTAAAAGCGTCTGTGTGTAAAAGCGTCTGTGTGTAAAAGCGTCTGTGTGTAAAAGCGTCTGTGTGTGTAAAAGTCTCTGTGTGTAAAAGCGTCTGTGTGTCAAAGCGTCTGCGCGTAAAAGCGTCTGTGTGTGTGTAAAAGTCTCTGTGTGTAAAAGCGTCTGTGTGTAAAAGCGTCTGTATGTCAAAGCGTTTGTGTGTAAAAGCGTCTATGTGTAAAAGTGTTTGTGCGTAAAAGTGTTTGTGTAAAAGTGTTTGTGTAAAAGTGTTTGTGTGTAAAAGCCTCTGTGTGTAAATGTGTTTGTGTGTCAAAGTGTCTGTGTGTAAAAGCGTCTGTGTGTAAAAGTGTTTGTGTGTAAAAGTGTTTGTGTAAAAGTGTTTGTGTGTAAAAGCGTCTGTGTGTAAAAGCTTCTGTGTGTAAAAGCGTCTGTGTGTGTAAAAGTCTCTGTGTGTAAAAGCGTCTGTGTAAAAGCCTCTGTGTGTAAAAGCGTCTGTGTGTCAAAGCGTCTGTCTGTAACAGTCTCTGCGTGTGAAAGTGTTTGTGTAAAAGCGTCTGTGTGTAAAAGCGTCTGTGTGTAAAAGCGTCTGTGTGTAAAAGTGTCTGTGTGTAAAAGCGTCTCTGTGTAAAAGCTTCTGTGTGTAAAAGCGTCTGTGTGTGTGTGTAAAAGTCTCTGTGTGTAAAAAGCGTCTGTGTGTAAAAGCTTCTGTGTGTAAAAGCGTCTGTGTGTAAAAGGGTCTGTGTGTAAAAGCTTCTGTGTGTAAAAGCGTCTGTGTGTGTAAAAGTCTCTGTGTGTAAAAGCGTCTGTGTAAAAGCCTCTGTGTGTAAAAGCGTCTGTGTGTCAAAGCGTCTGTCTGTAACAGTCTCTGCGTGTGAAAGTGTTTGTGTAAAAGCGTCTGTGTGTAAAAGCGTCTGTGTGTGCAAAAGTCTCTGCGTGTAAAAGCGTCTGTGTGTAAAAGTCTCTGCCGGTAAAAGCCTCTGTGTGTAAAAGTCTCTGTGTGTAAAAGAGCCTGTGTGTAAAAGCGTCTGTGTGTAAAAGCGTCTGTGTGTAAAAGGGTCTGTGTGTAAAAGCTTCTGTGTGTAAAAGCTTCTGTGTGTAAAAGCGCCTGCGTGTAAAAAGCGTCTGTGTGTAAAAGCGTCTGTGTGTAAAAGCGTCTGTGTGTAAAAGAGCCTGTGTGTAAAAAGCGTGTCTCCATACTAACAACAGAAGACTCTGCTCCTCGACGCTCTCGGGCCATCCGTCGTCTAGTTCAGTGTTGGGGACGTGTTTCTATAAATGTTCATAAATTTCCCAAGTTAACAATCCCGCCAATGATATAGATGGTTAATACGCCCTTGCTGGATAAACCCTTAACCTCTGGTAAACATACAAAAAACTATGGAACATCACCATTTTCCATAGCTATGTTAGTTTACCAGAGGGTATAGACTAATATAGATCAATAAACCCTGATTGTTTGGGAGCGCTGGATCCCCATGACACCATCGCAGGAAGCATCTCTTCACCGTGACCTTTCGGCAGCACGCGGAAGCGCAACGTCACCCGGACGCCAAGGTACGCAGTTTTTCGAGACCAGGCAATCTTTTGACTCCAACAAGATGGTAAGGATATCTGATATGTTACACATATTATACATACATATGATATATATATATATACATACATACATATGATATATATATATATATATACATACAGATATGGGATGTAACTAAGTAGTTTAACCAACAATTTGATATTTGGGTTTGCCCAACATATGCGGAGAATGCAAACTCCAATATGTGGCCATTCCAAAAGAGCGGAAGTGATGATCAACCATGGGAGGTTGGTTTAACAATGCGGTAATTTCACATGACTCAAGCTACAATGGGGAATTCTACCCTCTGGTAATTTAACGTAGCTATTGAAAATTGCCATTTATAGTTGATTTTCCCATTAAAAATTGTGATTTTCCATAGTTATGTTAGTTTACCAGAGGGTACAATGGGGAATTCTAACGCACAAAAGTCTGAATTGCAAAAGACATGTGGATGACTCGTGCGATTCGGTTGTGAGACAAAATTGTGCCAGCATCAAAAAAAAATTGAAATGATGCCAAATAGGCCAACGTGACTAAACATCATGGGGCAACATGATCCGAATACTTTCAGGATTACCCCCTGGTAAATTAACATAGACCCTGAAAATGACCAATTTATAGTGGAAACTAGTCTTCCAACCCCTAAAACTGCCAGGGTCTATGTTAATTTCCTGGAGGGTAAACTGGTTCAAAAGCCTGGTTGCTTCCTGTAGCTGGATGATCCTGTTCATCTTGGGTGATCCGCCAAGTATAAAGCCTGGGCCGGTTGATGATCATCCAGCAGGTCTCCTGGGTCCCAGCCAGTGGTGTGGTCCCAGATGGGAATTGGTAAATCACCATTTGTTTCCCTATTGCTTTCATGGTTAATGACATTAATATATTCAGGGAAAACACCATGTTCGCATGAAAATCATGATAAATAAATAAATCATTCCGGGAAACCATGAAGTTATTATGATCAGAATCATGATCATGATAATCAACTGTTGCTAATCACCATGGTTAATCACCATTATGTTAATATAAAACACCATTGTTAATCACCATGTTGATTGTTAATCACCATGATTTATTAATGTTACTATGATATATCTCCCAATGATTAACCATGATTATGATCATGATTGTTAATCACCATGTTCCCATAACGGTTAGCATTCTCCCCGTAACTTCTCCGAGAAATCGGAGGAGGGAGGAGTCCCTGAAAGTCGCAGCTTCCTGGTGGAGAAGCACGGCGCAGAAGGCCAGTCGAGAGACCACCCAGATTTCACCGTGGCCACCATGGCAAGACATGGGAATCCAAATACAACGTTGGTACAAATATAGTGTACATAATGTGCATAGATAGATAGATAGATAGATAGATAGATAGATGCATACATACATACATAGATACATAGATACATAGATACATAGATACATAGATACATAGATACATAGATACATAGATAGGATAGGATAGGATAGGATATGATGGATATGATGGATAGATGGATAGATGGATAGATGGATAGATGGATAGATAGATAGATAGATAGATAGATAGATAGATAGATAGATGTTTACACTGTATCCAAGGATTCGCCATTCAATGATATTGCATTTTTCAGCACTTGCTGCAAGGTGTTTTGGAGTTGTTTCTGTACTATGTCTTTGATTCATTCAAAATGGAGGATGTGACGTGAAAACTTCCTCAGATGAGTTGATGATGGCATCCAGCCCGACATTTTGGTCATGTTACCCTATCATGTTCTTTCGATTTATCCCATAAGTCGTATACAAAATACCAAAAAAAGACAATCCTTAGAATTGGTTGAGTGGTTTATCATGGTTTATCGCTTCATGGATTCATCTCCCAATTTGATCCAATAACATATGAGCTTGCAAATTAACATAGACACACTAATCTTCCAAGCCCCCCAACTGGGACACCGACTCAGGTGCCTTCAACCGAGCCAAAAAGTACCTCTTTGGTGCGTACCTGGTAGATAAAACCTGATGCAATGGGAATGATGGGCTAAATGTTTTGAGATGCTTTCAGTGTCTGCACGTTGAAACCACCTGTTTTTGGGGCACCAAATGACTTGGCCCATCCCATTTTTTTGCCATGATCCAGAGTGTAAATGTTGTCTTCAACCCTTTTGATGTTTGTGGGGAGGTCCATCTTCCGGTCGAGGGGTGTCAGCAAGCGTTTAAACTCGCACATGTTTGCTACTGTAGATATTGCTAGGGTTGGTGGATAATTGATAGTGATGTCTTGACTATATAATGATAATGAGAATGTCTGAGTAACTACGTCCATTGGGTTACTATACTACGTCCATTGTGATACAATATTGATTGTGGATCGATGATTGTGGAACCATTATGTGTGTATATATAATTATATATATATACCCTCTGGTTATTTAACGTAGCGAACTGGAGAATCACTATTTTTGATAGGTAAATCATCAAAAATCATCTATAAATGGACCATTTTCTATGTCTATGTTAAATAACCATAGGGAATATGTAACGATGATCATTTGGTCCATTGTCAGGGTCATCAGTGGCAACACTGGCATTCAGCGTAGCCTCTTCACTCTGGTTGGTTGATGCAAAAAGGGTACCCCATGGTGTTCCCACATTTTTTCACAATCATTGTTTGTGTTACAATTGCTAGTACAGATGATTTTGAATATCACATCATATACATATTACACATATATATATACATACATATACATAATTTGCATAATTATATATAATAGATTCAATAGATGTTGTTTCACAGTAGCACAGCCCATAGTGCTCAAAATCAATTTGGCGATAGATGATAAATCCTCATCCAGTGGCATTCTCATTTTTTTATCCAGCTCTCAAGTAAGGTCCTATGCTTCCTTGGACCAGCTGAGTTTCAGCCAAAAATGATGAGCTGCTGGCGGGAAGTAAAGCTGGGCAAGAGTCCAACTGCTACAGGTAGAAACAGAAACCAGTACTTGTGTTTTCTACGTCAAGAACAGTACCCTCATCGGATATGTATATATATATATTCTGTCTGTCTGTCTGTCTGTCTATCTATCTATCTATCTATCTGTCTGTCTATCTATCTATCTATCTATCTATCCATCTATCCATCTATCCATCTATCCATCTATCCATCTATCCATCATATCCATCCTATCCTATCCTATCCTATCCTATCTATCTATCTATCTATCTATATTATCTATCTATCTATCTATCTATCCATTTTTCTGTCTGTCTGTCTGTCTGTCTGTCGATCTATCTATATATTTATATTTAATATCATATACAAAGGCAAGAAAAAGGAATGTGAAGGCATGCTATCTCGCAAAGTGTCATTTGCCCAAGCAGTGATAAGACACATTCACCTCATCAAAATCGGTCCGTATTCTTCAGATGAGCAAGGCAGGGAGATGTCCGACTTTGGAGGTGAACGATCAGTGATAAATCGATGGTGGTACAAGGGGCATGGTTGTTATGTGTGGTCTGGATGAAATTGTCTGGGAAAAGGGTGAAGGGCCTTGGGTTTTTCCACAGATTTTCGATTCTTCTGGATGGTGTCGCTCTTCAAAACAAAAACACGCACCCAGACCTTCAAATAATTTGTTGAAAGGTTGCAAACTTGTACTATCTTGTACACATGATGTTTGCAAAAAGAGTTTATTCCTTTGATTGCTGTACACGTACAGTTCTATTACATGTTGCAATTCCGATGTCAACTGCCTATTCTAAGGGAATCTGTAGATATACCTTGCCTTCAGTGATCATACCAAGCATTTTGGACCAAGGCACAAAGTGCTCCTAATCTGGTTGGTGGTTTCAAGCATGGCTTTTATTTTCCATTTCATATATGGGATGTCATCCCAACCCCATTGACTAATATTTTCAAGATGGTTGAAACCACCAACCAGTAATCCATGTGGGATATTTTGGGATTGGATCTTCGCTGCCTTAGCTGGCTTGGCAAATTTGCCAAAGTTGACGCCCGTCCAAGTCGTGACTGGCGGAAACATCCAAGTTCTTGCGGAAACGCACAATGGGTCTCCGATTTTGCTTTTTTGCGGACCACACTTCCAGCATCTTCCAGCATCTTCCAGCATCTTCCAGCTTTGTGTCCAATCGAAACAGGCGCTCGGAGCAAGCTAAAATAAGCTGTCCATAGTTTCGAAATTCTTCATTTCAAGATTGGATCATCTCATCCCAAACACCTGCAAACATCACCAGCTTGCTGAAGCTGGTTTCTCTCAGTGCCGCCATGGGCGGCCTTTAACGCTTCGAACGCTTGCGCAGCGGGGAGTTTGGTGAAAAATCCGACCACTCCGATGCCATCAGCTTGATGAAACTTCTTCTCAGCTTCCTGCCAGGGGCCATGGGCGGTGGCGGCGACTTCGGCAAAGGATCTTTTCCGGATGAGTGGACCACAAATTGAAGGCCCTCAAACCCTCAATATTTTTTTTACATTTTTTTTGTTGGTAGATGTTGGTAGATGTTGGTAGTGAATCATCGCATTTTTGGCTAACCCAATTTTGAGGCTTCATAAGCATATCTCCTCCACTAGGTCACTAGGTTTCTGATGGGAATATCCAAATCTTTTAGTCTCTGTCCAAACATCAGATTGATCAGATTGTCAAATGTGGATCAACCACCAACAAAAACATCAAAATACACTAAATACATATTTTTTGGTCCTGACTCGATGGACCCTATGGAGTGTTGACTCTCTGTATTTTTTGCATCTCAGAAACCTCAGTTTCGACCCGTCCTTAAGCATGTAGGATCCTTGGCCATATCCCGAATTCCTGATGTTATCCTGCATACAAGTATAGCTTTTAAGTGCCCATAACTTTGCCACCATGATTGCAACTCACCTAGGAACTTGGTCATCTAAGTAGCCAGGAGGGCCCCTGTTTTTGGGTTTCAGATAGCATGGCATGGCCTCTCCATTTGCGCTGGCCCAGTTCTGAGATTTGCAGGAAAGGGCAAGGGGAAGAAAGGCAAGGGCAAGGGCAAGGGCAAGGGCATTTAGTTTCTGACTGGCAGTTATTACTGATAGTCCGAAGTGTCTTGATTTTGTGTATAGACCGTGAAGGATTTTAGAATATCTCATAAAAGTTTTATCCTCTGCGAAATCATCTATAATCAATAAGCAACTGAATAACTTGGTCATTTTCATTTTCTTCTGATACTCTATGACTTTGTGCTGTGTGTCTATGATATGTTGTAATGCTTCGGCATTATATTCATCAAATAAGTATTGTTCTTTTTTATTATCAATTTTTAACTCTTTTTCAATGTATTTTATTACCTCTTTGTATGCTTCATCTATGTGAGCGGTTGGGGATACAATGTATATTCTCTCAAAGCATCCTCTGTATATTTTCAGAATAAGGTTCTGAATTAATATACCCTTACCGCCTTGACTGGCACTAACAATAATTGACCTAAACGGCAGTTTATCCGCTTGTGGGTATTGAGACTGTTTAAACTCATACTGCTTTACATTGATTGGTTCTATCTTAGGTATGTCAAGTTTTTTCATAATATAATATATTTAAGAAATAAATTTACAATATAAATTGTAGTGGCATATCTTATCTTGCTGGAATAAGGGGTCGCAAGGTTTGGAACAGACTGCCATTTACCTGCCATACGAGCATCAGGACTGTTAATTCAGTTCCCCGCAACAAACAGTTGAATATGTGTCTTACTTTTGAATTAGTTTGATGCCATGCTTTTGAGAGAACCCGCGCCCCAACCCTGTTCTCTTTCATTTACACAAGCGCAAGTATAATTAGAACATAGCAAAACTATTTTCTAATAGTAATGGTTGTGATTGATGATGAAGAGATAATTGAGAATATAGAAACCCTGATTGATGACGCTTCGGACGAAGTCCTCGCGAGCATTCGCGACACTAAATTTCCTGTGGAAGATGGTAAGATAAAATGTTTTATTCATTATCTAATCAATAATATAAAGGATGCCTCCGAAAAAGAAAAGCAGTAAATCCAAAAAAAACTATTCCAGAGGATTTTGAACTGTCTGATGATGAACCCAAAATGGTAAGTTTAAGTCAGGAACAAAAACTAACAAGCAAAATATTATCTTTGATTGCCCTTTATGTCAGGGAAAATTACAGTTGAGGAACGAAATTGAAATCAACCCCAAAGGCATAACCTGTCGTTGTAATCCGTGTAGTTTCAAACTGACTAAAAATGATAAGACTATGAATGTCAGTAAGGATGATGAAGGGGGGATTACATTGGATAGTCAAGACCACAGCATCTCGTTTGCTTTCAATCGAATTACTACTCCTCCAACAGAAGATGAAAGATATAGAAATGATATGATAAAAGATGTTATGAATACACCACGGAACAGCAAGAAACAGATGATGTCTGAAATGGATTGAAACGAAACCATTTAAAGAGTAGTTGTTCTATCAACTCCAACTCATAAATAAATAATTAAAATAAATTAATTTCTAAATAGATAAATAAATAAATAGTAATGTCAAGTGGAGATGAGAGCAAGACTGAAATGAAAGAGTTGATGGATAAATTCAACAAATACGCTAAACAGGTGAAACTGGTTCTGGCAAAACTTGAAGAAATTGACAAGAAAATAGGACAAAACTATTACTATTTAGATGATGATAAGAGGGGTTATTTACGCCACAAATTGTGAAAGGTGTAAGGCTTGTTCATGCTGATGTGTTGTTGCTTCCAGTGCTTGCCATCACTGTCGTTAAGGCTCAACAATATCAAACTGCACTGCGCTGATGCTTCAAGTAAGATCATGATTCAAAGTCAGGAGGAGTAAGAGCTGTGGCAGGAATACGAGCTGTTGCTTTTCAAGACTTTTGTTGTAGCAATGGTTGCCTTGCGCAATGCTCGTGTTCGGCGCTATGTCCTTCTTTGCCATTTCTTCTGCTTTTGGCATTTCGCAGCGCGAACCTTACAGTTCTCTGCCCTGCCGCCGAATACAAAGCTGTTGAAGGACGTGGAGCACAATGAGATGCCAAACTGGATTCGTGAGCAAATGTGTGATTTGGGGTATGATAAAGGCGTCTCAGACAACATGGCCAAGGCGCTCTCATTTTACAGCCCTTCGGTCTTGGTGGAGGCTTCTCGAGAGAGTTTGCTGGGTGCGCTGCAACAGACATTCCCAGATGATGCACAGCGGATGATCATGGCCCAAAGCCTTTATGACCGCATTCAGAAGGGCATTTCCCAACCACAACCCGTTTCTCGGCAAAGATTGGTTTCAGTTGTTGCCCGAGTTCGTTGTGTTTTGTTTCTCGTTGATGTGAGACAGCGTTTATGTTTCTGTGGCTGCTTTGCTTGGTTTCAGGTTCAGAGCGATGTTCCCGAGAATGTCAAGGCCTTCGCACGAGCTTTGGATGATGCAGAGCTGGAAGGGCAAATTCTCAGAACGGAAAAGGGCAGTTTCAAGTTGCAAAACGTTTCTGAAATTTGGGACGAGAAGCAGTTCTACGTGCGGGACTGCTACACAGAAATTGCCGACATCATGTTGAAGAAAAAGCCCCCCGTGATGTCGCTGCTGGGCTCGTCTGGGATCGGCAAGTCCAATTTTCTGGTATATTTAATCTGGCGTCGCTTCCAAGACAGTGAGCTTAAAGACTTCCCAGTTTTTCTGCACCAGGGGGACATCATCCATCGGTTTCAGAAGGGCGAAGAGCCAAAGAAGGTCGATGCCGATACTTTGTATTCAGCCTCTGCACAAGCTTTGTATATCATGGATGCCGACATTGATGTGGCACATACGGTCTTTTGCCAGTCTTTGTGGATTACCTCTGCGCGGAGGCCGGAGACAGCGGCTTTCAACACCGAGCATTTCAAGAAAGCCGAGCGCTTTTCTGGGCAGTTCTTTATGCCACCATGGACGTTGACGGAGATGCTGAGTGCAGAGGTCATGGCCTTACACAAGCTGAATGAGGAGGTTGTCAAGGAACGCTTCGGCATCTTTGGTGGCACTGCGAGGCTTGTTTTGGAGAGGGACGAGACAAGGGCAGGCGTCGACCGAAGAAGGCTCGTAGAGGCCGTGCAGTCAGCAGATGCGCTGCAATGCCTTAAAGTATCGTCTGACATGAAAGCCATAAGCAAGACGACGCACTTGCTGGTGAAGATGATGCCATGGCCAGACTTCAGCTGGTTTGATGTGCAGTTGTCGTCTCCCTATGTTCGGCAAGAGCTGGTGAAGCAAAACAGAGCAAAACGAGCCCAAGCTCTTTGGGATCGTATTGATGATGGGATGATTACGGGCATCGGTTTTGCATTGTTTGAGGAAGAGTTCCGCCAGTTCATGCAGGACAAGTCCATCGGCAAGTTCAAGCTCCGAGCCAGATGCTTGACAGCTGAGGGGAAGGGGTCTGATACAACACAGGAACTCCAAGGTGGTCTTGAAGGAGTGCTGATTTCGGGCAATCCCGCAGCAGACATCAAGGATGGCGAATACTACCAGCCGCAGAGCAAAAACTTTCCTGCCTTTGACTCATGGACCTCACAGGGCATTTTTCAGCTGACGATTGCCGATAAACATGACATCACCTTCAATGACAGTGGCAAGGCAATGGACGTGACGAAGACGCAGGCGTCTAAGATTGTGGATGCACTTTGCAAGAAGCATGACAGCAAAGCCAAATTCTTCTTTGTCGTTCCGCAGTTTCAGTTTGATAAGTGGAAGACTGTGCAGACAGTGAAACAGCCAGAGATGGCTGAGAAGATTGAGCAATGGGTCGTGTGCTTTGAACAGAACCTTCCGAAGTGAAGTGGAGCAGCGCGCTCGTGACCAAAATGAGGAAAGTCCGACATCCCCCAGTTCGGGGTTATGGGTTTTTGTTTTTTTCTATTAGGGTCTTACCCCACACCTCATTAGGATATTGGTTGTAGAATGGACAAGGTTATGGGGTTGGGAGGTTCTTATGTTTTTTTTTTTGAAATATTGTTTTCTATGAGGGAGACCTTGCCCCCTAATTCTATGATGGTTTGTTGTTTGTATTTTGATTGGTTCATTGAATATTTTTTGGCATGGATTATTCAACAATCTTATTGGTTGGTTTGTTGAATAATTTTTGTGATGGGGTGTTGTTTTGGTTTTGATGATTGCTTGTTGCTATGGTTTTGTTATTGTCTCGGTTGATTGATTACTCATTGGATTTTGGTTATGTCTTGGTTGTTCTGATTTATTTGTGTTGTTTGGTTGATTGATTTCTTATTGGTTTATGGGTATGCTTTGGTTGTTATGATTTGTTTGTGTGATGTTATGGGGGTTGGTTGCTTTGAAATGTTGTCTGTATGTTTGCGGTTGTGGAGGATGGGAAGATGGGCAAGGGCCATTCTAACTTATATGTCTCGACGCCCCCGGAGTTAAAGATGTAACGCAGTCTCTTTTTTGTTACCCGTAGTGTTCAGCTCAAACTGATAGTGGATGTCGTGCAGCAGCTGCCACACTTTTCTTGGTGAACCGTGTGCTTGCTGCCGCACATATCGAAGGATCGGCTGGATCCTCCAGACTTGCCGTCTGGCGCCCGTGCAGGAGGCGGAAGCGCTCAGGGCTTTGCGTGAGTGCTGCTGCCTGCTCACGGACCTGTACGAGCTGGCGGGACGAGAGGCTCCTGCACAGCCTCTTGAATCGAGGGCAGGCCCCTTGGAAGAGGAGACCGGGCCAGAGGTGAAGATCGAAGAGAGTAGAGAGACCGCCCAAAGCAGCGAGGCTGCGAGAGCAAGGTCTGAGGATCCAGTTGAAGAAAAGAAGAAGAAGAAAGATAAGAAGAGGAGCCGCAAGAAGGAGAAGTCAGCAAGTGAGGACCCTGGCACGGGAGAAAGGTCTCCTGAAAACAAAGTAAGGAGGAAAAGGAGGAAGTCTATAGACGACGCGGAAGGAGAAGGTCCAGACGCAGAGCACGAAGGAGGAAGGACAGAGGTCAAAGAGGAGGACGCCAACCCGGGGGATACCCCTGCAAGAGGTGTCACCGAGGAGGAAGACTTGCAAGAGAGGATCGACAACTTCGTCGCCAACAACCCCAGGTCATACGAGCTTGGGACATTGCCAATCAGAGACCGAGAGCGGCGAGATTCGCCAGAGGCAGATCCGGGAGACACCAGCCGGAGGCCGCCGGAGCCCCTACATCCCCCCCCGGGATACCACGGCCGGCGAGAGGACGACGACGAGATCAGAAGGAGGAGATCACCACAACCAAAGAAGAACAAGGGAAGGAAGCACAGGACGCGAGGCAGGGAGCGTGGCTACGTGCCACGGCCTGGGCACAACTAATGGCGCCCATGGCAATGCCAATGCCGGCCCCAAAGGGCAAAGCTCGTGTCCGAGCCAAGGCCAAGGCCAAGGCGAAGGCCGTGGCGGTGGTCAGGCTAGGGATTCTGGGGAGATGTGCTCTCAGGCGGCCGGCAGGCAGTCGAGGCGGTGTTAACACCCTCTTCGGGAGTTGGGAGAAGGCGTCAAAGCGGTGTTGGAGGCAGCCACGTACTTTCACCAAGGGTGCACGGTGTTGGGTGCAATCAAGGGTTTCGAGGTCCGAGAGGGAGAGGTCTCTCTTCGGGTGACCTTGCGGGGAACTTCGCACGAGGGGTCGCTGAAGATGCCCTCCGGAGCCCCAGAGACCACTTACAAGATACACCCATGCCCACGGGCCTTCCAGCAGGAGGAGGTCTCGGATTACACCTGGCATGCTCGAAAGGTAAGGCTCTTGGGCCTGGTGGAGTCGGAAACAGGATGGGTTATGAAATGGCAGGCGGTCCAACCAGAGAAACGAGGAAGTCAGATCGGAAGCAAAGGAAACGACAAGGGCAGGTCAGACACAAAAGGTGGCTCAAAAGGAGGAAAAGACCGGAAATGGGGCAAGGGGCCCCAACCAAAGGGAGGAGCGTCAAGGAGGAAAGACGAGGTGCCCGGGAAGGCATGCGCCCCTGGGGCATAGAGGAGACGGGGGGAAGGCCCCTTGGAGAGGAGCTGACATCGGGGGTGGTTACCCCTGGCCGATACCTCTGCCGCAAATCGTATCTTGGGCTCCCTGCCATAGAGGAGGCGGGGGGAAGGCCCCCTGGAGGAGAGGTGACATCGGGGGTGATTACCCTTGGCCGACACAATGAGACGAGGGAGAAGTCCCTTGGAAAAGATATGGCTGGGGAGCCCGGCCGAACTGATGGCGGCTATGGTGAGGGGATGGAAGTGGCCCTCTGCCGCAAATCGTATCTTGGGCTCCCTGCCATAGAGGAGGCAGGGGGAAGGCGCCCTGGAGACGAGGTGACATCGGGGGTGATTACCCCTGGCCGATACAATGAGGCGAGGGAGAAGTCCCTTGGCAAAGATATGACTGGGGAGCCCGGCCGAACTGATGGCGGCTATGAAGAGGGGATGGAAGTGGCCCTCTGCCGCAAATCGCATCTTGGGCTTCCTGGAGCAGCCGGGACGGAGTGCTTTGGCCATGGCTGCGCTGAGCAATCAATGCATGAGGCTGCCCCGAAGTGGGCAAGCACGAATTCCTTTTCTACGCGCGGGGCGGCTGCGGCTAGCTCTGGCTTTGCGGATGGCATGGCCCTTGCAATAACGGCCGAAGCTTTTCAGTCCGCCCATCGAAAAAAGGACGCAGATCAATGTGTGACTGGGAAATCTTAGGGGTCGTATGGTTCAGTTTTTGGTACTAGGCTACTAGAGGTTTTACCGCTTCGCAGCCAGACCACGGGTAGGGGAAGTCACAAAGCTATTTTTCCCTTGCCTACCTCTAGAGCCGCTTTTCTCCAACTGAACCCCCTTTTTGAATGAGGATGAGCTGTCGTGGATTTTTTGTGTAGCAGTTTCTTTGAATTTTTCTTGGGGATCTGAAATTCTCAATGATGGTTTGCCGAATCCGTCACAACACAAATGTTTGGAGGGCATCTTGAGGGAGGTGCAGAGGTTCTGCCATATGGACGCCCCAGTTGCGGAGCCCGATTGGAAGCATTTTCTCAAGGTGAAATCTATTGACTATAAAGGCGATGAGGTGAAGGTCGCGCGAAGATTTTCATGGAAAAACATTTTCCCTGCTCTACCTCGTGAAATTGGAAAGGTACCCCTTGCTGATGTCTGTACGTTAGGGTCCAAACACTATGTCCTGCACTTTGACCAGTACTTGAAGGCACCCAGCGAGTGGAGTGTCGTCAGGGCCCCCCGGGATATGGTTGACGATGAGCACTGGGCTGAGGTGTGTGAAGGTCTTGCAGACGGGTATCTGCACTTTTATCGAAGAGCAGGATGTTTTCCATGCTCATGATACCCCGGTTCTCAATGGATTTTTTGGGGTCATCAAGGATGAATGGACGAAGGATGGCACGGAGATTTTTCGTTTAATTATGACCCTGGTGCCTCTGAATTCCCTTTGCATGCCCATGACTGGTGATGTGAATACGTTGCCTTCATGGAGTGGAATATCGCCGTTTTTCCTGCAGCCTACCCAATGTCTTTTGGTTTCAAGTGAGGATGTTAAATGCTTCTTTTATACGATGTCCGTGCCGACCACATGGACTATAGCTTTTAACAAGCTGGTTCCCGATGAGGTTTTGCCGTTGCATCTTCGAGGTAAGAGGGTCTACGTGGCGTCCCGTGTTTTGCCAATGGGGTTTCTCAACTCCGTATCCCTGGCGCAACACGTCCACCGCAACCTGGCTTTGACGGCTGGAGCGCGGTACGGGGACCGGGAGTGCAACGCTCCTGATGAACGAGAGTTGAGGAAAGATCGGGTGTTCCCGCAGGGGGACACCTTGTGGAGAATATACCTCGACAACTATGACCTCCTCGAGAAGGTAGAGGCTACCCAGATGGGAAGCCTTGAGGGCAGTGTGGCGCCCGGGGTACTGGCGCTTCGCCAGGAGTATGAGGTCTGGGACATCCCGCACAATGTCAAGAAGTCCGTGGGACGCAGCGCGAGGTGCGAGGTGCAAGGCGCAACAGTGGATGGCCTCCTTGGGGTCGCATACCCGCGGGAGTCCAAGCTCGCAAAATACTTCGGCATGGCGGTTGATCTCTGTGGACGGGCATTTGCTACCCAAAAGCAATGGCAAGTTGTGTGCGGAGGTTTGGTATACATTGCGATGTTTCGTCGCGCCATGCAGGGAGGCTTGAATCAAGTATGGAAGCACATCGAGAGCTACGAGCAAACTGGTCGGCGTTTTCAGCGGACACCTCCTGAATGCATCATGGAGGTCCTCCGATTGCTGGGGTGCTTACCCTTGGCACGGATGGACTTCCGCCAGGACATGAACGAAGTAGTGACCTTCAGTGATGCATCAACTTCGGGAGGTGGAATGTGTGCCAGTGTGGCAACTTCGCCCTTTGGAAAGATGGTGGCAAAGGGTGCCCTTCGAGGCGAATTGGCAGAACACCGGCCGGAGCATATGGTGCTCTGCGTGGGCTTATTTGATGGCATCGGGGCCCTTCGGGTTGCCCTGCATGGACTTGCTTGGAGTGCAGGTCATTGGGCATGTGTCCGTTGAGAAAGAGCCAACTGCACGTCGGGTGGTTGAGGCGCATTTTCCAGGTCTAGTTGCCCTTGACCTGGTAGAAGAAGTGACCAGTGAACGGGTTAAGGAGTGGAGCACTACTTTTTCGCAAGCCAGCCTGGTCCTGCTCGGGGCTGGCCCGCCCTGTCAAGGAGTCTCGGGACTCAATGCAGACCGCCGGGGAGCGCTCAAAGATTCGCGGTCGTCCCTGTTCAGCCATGTTCCCCGTGTACGAGATCTCTTGCGCAAACTTTTTTGCTGGTGCCCAGTTTATACTTTCATGGAGTCAGTGGCCTCCATGGATGCCAATGATCGGGAGGCCATGTCGCAGGCCATCGGGATGAATCCGCTCTCCTGTAAGCCTGCGACTTCACCTGGTGTCAACGACCGAGGTTGTACTGGATAGGCTGGGAGGTGAATGCTCAGCATGTAGCGGTGCAGCCAAGCTCGGGGGTAGGGACCCCCGCCGTGGTCCGATTGGAGGGCGCTCAGGATCTGTCGCAAATGGTCCGACCAGGTTGGCTCAAGGTCGAGCCCTCCCAATCTCTCCCTACCTTTACGACTTCACGGCCTCAGGCCCGGCCTGGCCGGAAGCCCACCGGCATCCAGAATTGCACCCCTGAAGAGTTGCAACGGTGGGTTGCTGACAGTTTCAGCCAAAAATGATGAGCTGCTGGCGGGAAGTAAAGCTGGGCAAGAGTCCAACTGCTACAGGTAGTAACAGAAAACAGTACTTGTGTTTTCTACGTCAAGAACAGTATCCTCATCGGATATATATATATATATTCTGTTTGTCTGTCTGTCTGTCTATCTGTCTATCTATCTATCTATCCATCTTTCTGTCTGTCTGTATGTCTGTCTGTCTATCTGTCTATCTATCTATATATATATATAATATCATATACAAAGGCAAGAAAAAAGAATGTGAAGGCATGCTATCTCACAACGTGTCATTTGCCCAAGCAGTGATAAGACACATTCACCTCATCAAAATCGGTCCGTATTCTTCAGATGAGCAAGGCAGGGAGATGTCCGACTTTGGAAGTGAACGATCAGTGATAAATCGATGGTGGTACAAGGGGCATGGTGGTTATGTGTGGTCTGGATGAAATTGTCTTGGAAAAGGGTGAAGGGCCTTGGATTTTTCCACAGATTTTCGATTCTTCTGGATGGTGTCGCTCTTCAAAACAAAAACAAGCACCCAGACCTTCAAATAATTTGTTGAAAGGTTGCAAACTTGTACTATCTTGTACTCATGATGTTTGCAAAAAGAGTTTATTCCTTTGATTGCTGTACACGTACAGTTCTATTACATGTTGCAATTCCGATGTCAACTGCCTATTCTGGTTGGGAATCTGTAGATATACCTTGCCTTCAGTGATCGTACCAACCATTTTGGACCAAGGCACAAAGTGCTCCTAATCTGGTTGGTGGTTTCAAGCATGGCTTTTATTTTCCATTTCATTTATGGGATGTCATCCCAACCCCATTGACTAATATTTTCAAGATGGTTGAAACCACCAACCAGTAATCCATTTGGGATATTTTGGGATTGGATCTTCGCTGCCTTAGCTGGCTTGGCAAATTTGCCAAAGTTGACGCCCGTCCAAGTCGTGACTGGCGGAAACATCCAAGTTCTTGCGGAAACGCACAATGGGTCTCCGATTTTGTTTTTTTGCGGACCACACTTCCAGCATCTTCCAGCATCTTCCAGCTTTGTGTCCAATCGAAACAGGCGCTCGGAGCAAGCTAAAATAAGCTGTCCATAGTTTCGAAATTCTTCATTTCAAGATTGGATCATCTCATCCCAAACACCTGCAAACATCACCAGCTTGCTGAAGCTGGTTTCTCTCAGTGCCGCCATGGGCGGCCTTTAACGCTTCGAACGCTTGCGCAGCGGGGAGTTTGGTTCAATCCGACCACTCCGATGCACGCCTTTGAGGATTTGTCCCCTCGGAAGATGGACTTTTCTCCAACCACTGCCTATGTCAAGGAAACGCTGCCTGGAGCTGCTGTGAAGGTGGGCGGAAAACGCTGGAGATCGGAGTCATGGATTTGATGAGTTGAAAAATTATGAAATGTGATGTTCAATGCGCAAAAAAGATGGTTCAGTAGTTTTATTCAATATCACATATCATACATATCACATGATAACTATGATCACCTCATACACAAACATCATCACTCCACGGGACAGGTGGGTCTATGGATGCGAACGGCCCAGATGGTCACGCTGGTGCTGAGTGTGGCCGCCTGCAGTTGGGGTCCCTTTTCTCATTGGTTGATGAATAGAGGGGTTTCTTCATGCTTTAAAGGTACCATCTGGTTATTTAACATAGCCATGGTATAGCTGGCCCATGTATAGATGGTTTACCGAACTTAAAAATGGTGGATCTTTCCATGGCTATGTTAAATACCCAGAGGGTAAATGATGATAGATGGGATGATCACCAGCTCCCGGCCCAAACCTATTTTGACCTTAAAAGGACATCAGATTTGCTTGATGATTTCAAGACTTTCATGAAATCTATGGATGACTTGCGGGTACGCCCATTTATAGAAACCCCCAAATGGCTGAAGAAATGGCTGAAGAAATTGTTTAAACATGGTTGAACAAGATAAGTTTCAGCTTGTTGAAGGGGTTGCTTATTGATGCATCAAGCATGTTTTTGTCATGGTGCAAAAAACAACTCAGCAATAGAGCGCAGCTGCAACTCATGAGAAGCCAGGGTTGTTTGACGCATGGATATACCAAAACCCTACAGCTATGGGATGCTATGGGTGGATTCCCATGGTGACTGGAGGGGGTCCATCCCAGGAGATTGTCTATCCCAAAGGATCCATATATGCTATATATGATAACATTTACCATCAATATACCCCAAATGTTAGCATATATACCATACATGGATCCTCTGGGTATGGAGAGTGGTTTTTGTTCCCCGTTGCTTGCTGGAATACTGCTGGTTCGAGCCAGCATCAGTGGATGGGCCAGCGAAATCCTGCATCACCAAAAGGATGGTTGAAGCCCTATAAATCATGGGATAGACCATCGTTCAACTGGTGATTTCGCAACCATCCACTGAATTTAAGATGTCCAGTTTCAACCTGCAGCCATTGGTGAAACCCTGAGCTCCAGTTGCAGCTTCGAACTCAGGCACCATCTTTTGGCGGAAACTCAGTGACCTTCCGAACTACTCGCAAGAGCGGCCACTGATGTTCAACGCGGAGAAACTCAGAAATCTGAGTCATTTAGTGTAACTTGGATGCGCCTTCCCCTTGGGGAACCTTTGCTCTGGATGACACTGAAGTGTTTGGGACATGCTGTTTGTGCTGATGTTTTTGGTTTAGTTCCACCTCACTATATTGATATGTAACATATATATAACTATATATGTATATATTTATATAATATAATATATAATACATAATATTTAACATATACTATAATATATAATATATAATATATAATTTAATATATAATATATAATTTAATATATAATATAATATATAATATAAAATAATAAATATATAATATATAATAATAATAATGATAATGATAATGGTAATAATAATTATAACAATAATAATAACAATAATAACGATGATAATATTAATTTATAATAACAATAATAATTTACTATATATATATATATTCACGTGTTATCACGGAGTGATCATAGTGTTTAAATGATGGCCGTCTTGTCTGTAGCGTTTGGGACATGAATTCCATCACCATCCAAGTTTCGATATCGCTTCTGCGATATCCCAAGTCGAATGGTCGTATTTTTGCGGGGTATGGTCATGTTTGAAGACACTGGGATCTACCACGGTGGCTGCCATGAATTGTGCCTATTTCACATCCTTGACATATATATATATATATATGTCCACAATTTTGACATACAGAATGCATCAAATCTATGCTTGTTATATCACCAGCCTGAATTTTGTGGGTTCCAGCCCAAGCTTTTTCGGATAATACTTTTTTGCCGCGCTGAGGTTGGTAGCAGGACATGCCGCCCCTCGGAGCAGTGCTACGATAGCCCATATGGCCCATCTGGATTGAAAACCAGTTGAAGATCTCTGATTTCGGGGAAAAGGCATGGTACAATATGGTACAGTACATTATACTGGGTAAATTTCATTACGACCTCACTGTTCTCCCTCACTGGAAATCATAGCTAGTAAGGGGAATCATCCCAAAATGGCCGCAAGATTCAAATTCAGGTCAGTGAAATATTATAATTTAACCATATGTATATATATATATATGGGATTTAATGGGATTTAATGGGATTTAATGGGTTTTAATGGTGACTTAATGGGATCTAATGGGATTTACTGGGATATACCCTCTGGTAAACATACGCGCAAACACCCCGATTCGCCCACACCCCTTCTATGCTGTACACTTGGAGATATCAAACGTTAGACTTTACATTCAATTGTGAAGATCAACAAGGGTATTTAGGGAATATAAATTTCCCACCACCGTTAAACTTCTACATTCATTGAAGATCTTCAATAAGGGTTTAATTCTCCCACCCCCGCTACACTTCTACATTCATTGAAGATCTTCAATAAGGGTTTAATTCTCCTCCCCCCTTTAAACTTCTACATTCATTGAAGATCTTCAATAAGGGTTTAATCTCCCACCATCGTTAAACTTCTACAGTCATTGAAGATCTTCAATAAGGGTTTAATTCTCCCACCCCCGATAAACTTCTACATTCATTGAAGATCTTCAATAAGGGTTTAATTCTCCCATCCCCGTTAAACTTCTACATTCATTGAAGATCTTCAATGAGGGTTTAATTCTCCCACCCCCGTTAGACTTTATACATTCATTGAAGATCTTCAATAAGGGTTTAATTCTCCCACCCCCGTTAAACCTCTACATTCATTGAAGATCTTCAATAAGGGTTTGATGATGATGATGATGGTGATGATGATGATGTGTAAGAGACTCGCACAGGTCCCTATGCTGTACGTGCCGATATACAACATGAAGTTAGCCATTATGCAAAAAACTCACATTTTTATCACGTTTTCAGCACATACGAAGATGACCGCCGACAAGCGCGGGCAAATCGAGGTGTTTGCCCGTAAACATACAAAAACCATATTGTACAGTACATTATAGTATACATACCATCCTTTCAACAAGCGTGTCTTTAGCTCGACCATGAGAGTCTTTCGACATGAGGACAGAGGGGTATCTTCCGACCCTGTGGCTGGCCTGTGGCTGGGGTCTATGTTAAGTTGGAGGGAAGGAATATACACATAATCCATCATAATGCATGATAATCATTGATCATCCATCATAATCCATCTTAATCCCTGCCCCCTAAGAGAAACGGCAAGACCCTATGGTTTGCCCGCAAGGTTTGAGTGGTGTTCAAATATTATCTTTCGACATGCTCAAAAACCTGCGCAGGGCCAGTGTTTTAGTATTTCCCAGGCGACGAACCCTAAAACCTAAAACCCTAAAACCCTAAACCTCAAATCCTGAAAATTCTGAATCCTAAACCAGAACACCCTGCGTAATTTCTTGTATTTTCTGCAATTTCTCTTCTCATGTTCAACAGCAGGGCATCCTCAGTGTTGCAGTCCGGGCAAAACACGGGGTCTGTGCGTAGTATTCCATGTGAAGCTGGTGGAATTGATAGGGACGAAAGAGGGGACCTTCCCACAAGCCTCCAAGACTACTCCCCATAACAAGCTCTGTGTGGGAAGCGGCAATGGAAGGTCTAGCAGGTGTTACTACAACGTCCGTGTTTTTTTTCAACATCAGAAAACACTCGAGAGTTTGAGATACAACTTTGGTTTCATTGCTGTTTCATACCAACACAAAAAATCACAAGATTTTGAGGTTGCATGAGGTCATACTGTACTGGAAAGCTGGTGCTTGATCAGAATCGGGGGGATGTTGTGGGACCGGGACCCCACGGATTAAAGGCCCAAATCCATCCAGGCAGCTCTGCATTGCTTAGTCGTGTCCCTTAAATGTCACCAAAGGCATCCCTGTCCGTGGACTGCTGAGTGCTTGAACTTGCAGCAAATAGTAAGTAAGCAAGTTTTAACTCAAACAATGCTGGCAATTCACAGCATGTGATACCTATAGCTACTCAATTTGGCCAGTTTTCCAAGGATTTATTAATATTCGTATATGTTTGTCCCAATTCCATATATGGAATATCCCCAATTACGTATGGCTTATGTTTGGCTTACATATGGATATAATAATAACAACATAATCTTATATATATATACATATATATATATATATTTATACACAGTAACATCTTTAATATATTAACATATGTATATACAGCTTATAAACAACTTATGTTCCATCCGTTCTTCAAATTTACAGCATCGCCCGCCGCGGTTCCTTTCCTTCATAGGTTGTTAATTGGCAAACAAAAACTTCTTTTTGTTTTGGTCATACACATCTCCATTTTTTGTCGCCCGATTCTTACCTGATTCTCTATATATATATATATATATATCCTAGCCAAACGCGAAAAACATGGACAAATCTATCGTGCTTCTTTGTCAAAGAAAAAATTTGACATGCCCAAATGTTTTTAAGTACTTGGTACCTGAGTCACTTGGCTTGCTGGAAAATTCGATGATCTTCCCACTTAAAGGCCCATTCATCTGGGCAAATTATAGTGACCGCACTGGAATCATGATTAGTAAGGGGTAATCCCAAATTATTTCAGGTTAGTGAACTATTATGATTTATCATCGATCAACTATGATTTCCTTTACTATTTGTGATTATTATTTTTGTTCCAGATTTATGAACTATTAGTGAATCAATAATATTTATATAGTTCATAAACCACTAATAGTGAATCACTAATAGTTCACTAATAGTGAATTTATAAATTGATTTACTATTAGTGAACTATCATCAAGTTATCCAGATATCTCCAGATTTAACATGGTGAAGCGCCTCAGGTGATCCTGGCAGACTCCCTGGAGCACGTGGTGCAGAAGGAAAAACCTGGGCTTGTGCTGGGACTTCGACGTCACGATGTCATTGGGATATGATGGGCATTTGCCCTCTGGTAACCTACGTTTACATTAAACGAACTGGGAAGATCCACCATTTTATAGCTGGGCAAATCAACTATTTCGACTGGGTCATTTTCTATGTCGCAAACTGTGAATGTTTACCAGAGGGTAGCAGCAAAACTTGGGGTTTGATTATGATTTATCTATCAACCACGGGAATTTTAAAAAGAAGTTTCCATAGATGGGGATTTTGTGTGGTGAAAACTTGGAGGTGGGTATATTCACATTATTCACCGCTTGACCTAACAAGCTGATTGCTTAAACTGAATTCAAAGTATGTAAGATACAATGTGAGGCCCCCAAGATAGCTAAGTTGGTTTATAACTCCGATAACTATGGTTTGTGGTACTTATAACTATAGTTACTGGGGCGAATCTAAACCAACTTATAACTGGGGGGGCCCACATTGAAGATATTGCAAGATGTTGTAAGATTAGCCATGTAGTGGTTATGATTTGATTCTACCAGCGGACACCGGGCCGGTGTCCACCAACACAACCAACAAAATATATGGGAATTTGGCCCAGAGACGCTTTGTCGTGGGCTTGTACTGGTAAAGAGTACCAGCCATGCGGCTGAACTCTACACCATCCCACTTACATCTGATCTATTGTTATTGGTAAACCTATTATTATCCCAACAATATTTTACAATGTGGGGCCCCCCAGTTATAAGTTGGTTTATAATCCCCAGTAACTATAGTTATAAGTACCATAAACCATAGTTATTGGAGTTATTGGCACCAACTTAGCTATCTTGGGGGCCTCACATTGTAGGATATTATAGGCCAATAATCATGCACCGAATCAATGACAGAGCCCAAGTTTTAGCATGCGCGCGGAGAAAGGAGTCGGATTGGTACCTGGAACCGTATCAGCGACACCAAGATCTTCCTCAGGTGCGGATGAGATCGACATGAAGCGTGGGATGATTTGTAAGGTATATAATCCTCAAAAAACAAAGATAGAAGTGAAAACATCCCACTAAAACAGGGATAAATCACACTTTTCTAATTTTTTGGGGGTGGCTATTATATGGGAACATGGTTTTCGAACCAGCAAATTGCGTGGGAATACAATGGGGATATGATGAGACATAGTGGAATAGAATCAAATTATCTTGCGACCTCACTTCGCGACGTCACTGTAAGAAATGGCTGGCGTCACTATCCCACGTTATCCCTCGCCTTTTTTCTTTCTGGTATAATATGATCATGTATTCCGCACGATCCTGAGACCATGGATTCCATACACTTGTTTTTCCATACATGTGTTTTTAATTATATATTGTATTATACTATGATATATTATATTGTATGATATTGTGTTATATTGTTTTATATTATAGTATATTATTGTATATAATATATATACTATATTTACACTATATTTTCTTTTTTAGACTATATGTTTAACAGTGTATGATGTCTGTTTAATATCATATTATTTGTTTTGGATATTGTATTATCTATTATGTTGTGTTATTACGATATACTATGTCATTTTATAGTACATTATTTTTGTTAATATTATTTCACTACATGTTTTATATTATTATATGTTAATATATGTTATACTATGTTATATAATAGTACATATATATATAATACATACATACATATATAATACACGCAGTTTTGACCCGGATATGCGATAGACAGAGTATATAGACAGGTGCATCGCAGGAATCGATAGCGTAGGTGATAAACCACAAGTCCTGATTTGTGTCAACCGACTGGATGGGTTTAGTGCAACTGATTCTTGGGGATGTATTACAATGACCTGTATTTATCCAACCAGCTACATGTTTTTGCAGTGCATCTCCAGTAAGATTCGCCATGTGGTAATTCTGTATATTTCTGTCTTAAATTATCTTTAACCATGTTGTAATGAAGCATGCTCCCCGATGGTGATATCAATGGTTATCATGAGCGATCATGATCAGCCTTTACTGTAGTCTCTGACACCGTACAAAACCGAATGTCGCAATACTTACCCTCTGGTAAACTAACATAACTATGGAAAATCACCGTTTTCAATGGGAAAATCCACTATAAATAGTCATTTTCAATAGCTATGTTAAATTACCAGAGGGTAGTTCACAAGGGATGGGAATTCACAGACAGGGGGATGTGTCATGGTTCCTCTTGTGATTTCATGGTTGTCTAGCCACAACCACTCCAAAGCGCTTGGCACCGGAGGCGCTTGTGAGCCACATCAAGTCAGGCGAACGGATGCTGAAGCTCTTGTGAAATGGATGAGATGGGAGAAGTACCAGCAACCAACAACAGCAACCAACAACAGCAACCAACAACAGCAACAGTAACAGCGACAGTAAAAGCAACCGCAACGGCAACGGCCACCACCACCACCACCACCACCACCACCAGCAGCAGCAGCAGCAGCAAGAGCAACAACAACAACAACAACAACAACAATGAAACAAGAATAATAATCAGAAGAGGAGGGAAGGCAACAAGGCATATGACCAAAAAAACAGTACCTCACCAAGACTTCAAAAATAGTTTATCGAATCTAATCTATCCAACAAAGTTTGATTTCACGAACCAAATACAGGACAGTTAATTAATCTGCAAGTGATTCAATTGATAGCAAGTGGGAACACAATCAATGAACGTGTGAATTTGCATTAGCAAACTAAATCAACATTTGGGAAGTGGAAATGAACGATGACTAATGATTACTACTGTGTAGGTAATTTGAATACCTGTTGACTTGAACCTGTGCTTGTTTGCCGGGCGGCATGAACGGGCGATTACTCGAGGATTTCATGCCGCGAGTCTGAAAAGTAGCTGCCCATACTCCAAAACATTTCCCAACTAATCATGACCCATGGATGATTTTGGGGTCCTTTTTAGGAAACTCCCACATACCCTCTGGTAATTTAACATAACTATGGAAAATCACCATTTTTGATGGGTAAATCCACTATAAATGGCAATTTTCAATAGCTATGTTAAATTACCAGAGGGTACATGCCATGATGCAAACATGGTGTATTTCCCCATCAATGGGATGGCCAGTTCCCATGGCAGCCATGACTGCCCACATGGCAACCCGGTTGGCTCGTCCCGGTTGAGCCAACCGGTTGTGTAGGTGTGGAACTGACGGCGGCTGACCCGGAGGCTGCATGGAGTGACACAAAAAAAAGCCCGGGTGGTGACTCAAAGATCAATCAAAATAGGTTTGCCAACGAAGAGTGACATCCGAATCGATGAACATGGTGTTAAATGTGATTGGTGGTTTCGATATTCTCTCAAATATCCAACAGCAGTGAAGGATGTAACAGCAAAACCCGGGACAAATGGAATGTCTTCCAAATGGTCTGGTTGGCATGTTCAATGTCCATCTGTACCTTGTTTGATTTGTCCTGAATGACGCATATTTAGTAAGGGTTTTAAACACTCATAGTAGATGCAGCTGGTGATTTTGCCACCAGTCTCAAGTAACCTGGAATAATGCGGGCAATAGTCATAGTAAACTTTAGTTGAGGGTTAATCATCAATCCCGAGGTGGTTTTGTCTTTGTTTGGCTCCATCTTCCTTTTTTACTTTTACATTTTTATACCTTCGTTTCTCTGGGAAATCCCAAGTTGATATCAGTCTTTCCCTCATGTTGCTTGGTTTTGTTGTCTTTGACCCTCAAGTATTCGAATATTTCCAACGGTGAACATGCTCCAAACTCCAGCTTGGAGTTTGTGGATGTTAATGTGTCAGGTTCCAGCAAATTTTACACCCAGCAGGAAGGGCCCCCCCAGTTCCAAGTTTCTTTACAAACATATGTGAACGTCATCGAACTACATTAATACAGCCTAATTCTAAACCCCAGTCAGCCCAGCAATCAACTTGCCTATGAGAAATCAGATGAAATCAGATATATCAGATCAACAATATCAAGCATTATATGAATCTTCAATGTTCCTGGGTGAAACCATTCTTTTAATATTATCGCTGCTCAAATCCTGCAAAAACAACAACAACAACAACAACCACAACCACAACCACAACCACAACCACAACCACAACCACAACCACAACCACAACCACAACCACAACCACAACGACAACGACAACGACAACGACAACGACAACACCAACACCAACACCAACACCAACAGCAACAGCAACAGCAACAGCAACAGCAACAACAACAGCAACAACAACAACAGCAGCAGCAGCAACAACACCAACACCAACAGCAGCAGCAACAGCAACAGCAGCAACAGCAGCAACAGCAGCAACAGCAGCAACAGCAGGAACAGCAGGAACAGCAGGAACAGCAGGAACAGCAGGAACAGCAGGAACAGCAGGAACAACGGCAACAACATTCAAACAAAGAATGGGACTCCGTATTCAATCCATATCTCTTTTTGTCTCCACCAGGGGGTATCTGGTTTAGTTTTCGAAACTTCTGCCCCAGCGCGGGCAGGGCACTATATATATATATATATATACACAATCCATCACAATCCCCCTCTTAATATAGCTTAGAAATGGGTGCCATCCGGGAGGCGCTTTTCCTGGGCATTTTATAAGGCACATTTTTTTTTTAGTCCCAAAAAAACTGGGTGCCCCCTGGGTACCCTAAAAACCCTTGACAATTACCATTTAATGTTTTTTTTGAAAAATAATAGTGGGCTATAAAATGATAATTCTTTTAAACTTATAAGAAAACAGACCCGGGGGTCACAAAAGGTTCGATTTGTATTTCCTTTTTCTCACCAACACCCTTACAAAAAATAATGAGTTCTTTTTAATCTGTCTAATTGACATAGTATGCGAATTTCATAAGAGTTGGAGCAGGTACCTCTTATAACATAATTCCGTATCATTCTGTGGAGTCTATAGGGCTCACATTTTCTACCATGTTATTATGGTTTCTTATATTTTGCTTATTACTGAAGCTGTGACCTCAGAAACCATTTACCATTTTACAAGGTTTTTAAAGCTACCTGCATGCGTGCAAGAAATCATTTTCACTTCGAAGTTTTATCATTTTATAAGGTATACTTTATTTTCAGTGTGTCCTTTTCTTTTGAAAAATGCTGTATTACCAGCAAAAACCGAGAACAACATACCCGGAGAAATTGTTTTTTGCAAAGTTTTTCACACATACATTTTTAAAATGGTCTTAAAAATCTTATAAAATGCCTCCGCCATCAAAACCTACTACATTCCTCGTGAACAAGCCCTGCGGTTGTGAAATCATGATTTTTTCAGAAGGAAAAATTAGCCATTTTGTAAGTTGGTTTTTGGTAAAATATGTTGTATTGAATAGCCACTTCATAAAGGTTTATCAGATGCCATTTGCAAGGGATTGTATATTGTGCTTGTCATGAATCCCCATTTTATAACATTTTTTTGAGAATTATCATTTTAAAATGTAACTCTTTATAATCTGGCGTCCCCCGGGTTCCGGGTCTAATTATAAGGGGGATTATGTATATAATAGCAAATATCTATATGTAATAATACAATATAATACAACAAAATATCAAATATTACAACATGATATATATAATATAATAGCAAATATATATATATGATATATATATATATAATAACCATATAATATCATATATTTTTTTAATATATATATATATGTATAGTTATATTTATTTATATTCGGTTTTTCTAATGTTGTATAGTAGCATATATATATATATAGCATAAATCCTCAGAAATCCTCATGTCTCCACAGGCCTTGCTGATCTTCTCGGGTGGCCAGACCCGGGCGGCTGCAGGGCCAAGGGATGAAGGCGGCGCGATTTGGCGACGAAGTGTTTGCGAAGTGGAAAATCATTGATTATATATGATCCATGCCAATAGGATTTGTCCGTTATAAACCAATATCAACCATCCATAACTCGGGGTATCCCCAATTTCAGGAAATCCCGTATTTGGTTGGTGGTTTGGAACATGTTTTTTTTTTCTTATATTGGGAATAATAAATCCCAGCTGACTAATATTGTTCAGAGGGGTTGAAACCACCAACCAGTGATCATATATTTGATAATACCTAGTTTATATTAATCATATATCTGGGATTCAATGTATAATCATCGAAATTCTTACTGGTGCTAAACGCAGGGAATGGATGGGAATGGGGGTTGCTGGGATGATTATTACTAGTGATTATGGATCATTCCCGAGAATTCCCTGCGTTTAGCACCAGTAAGTTAAGTTCGGTAAATTAAATCAACCAGCTATGGTTGTATCAATCAAAAGAACATGGTTTGCTATGTTAAATAGCTATGATTTACCAGCTATGTTATACTATAAAGGTACCATTTTCAATAGCAAACTGTTAGTCATTACCAGAGGGTATGGTTTGTATCAAACAAAACAACATGGGGATTCTTGAACCAGCAACCAAAATCTGGAATGGGATCGTATGTAATCAATGAAAGTCAGGCACTGAGAATCACACGCGTGCCAAAATGGGAACTGACAGCAGTGATTCGTCCATGCTTACCCATTCGACATGGATAGAACTCAGTGATGTTTCAGCCTCTGGCAGGGTGGGGTCCCAGAACCCCAGGTAATTACTGGATGTAAATCCAAAGATACCTCTCCAGTAATCTAACATGGCAACTTGGAACGTCATGGACCATTTTGGTCCTGAAAATACGGATTCCCCAACCATCCATTGGAATGTTGGAGGTATGAAGATTGCCTTCTGGAACCGCTTGATGGATTGTAACCTGTAAACATGGTTTTCATTCCAGCTATGCACGGTGTAATTCTACTAGCTGTTGTTGTTGTGGTTCTGGTTGTTTGTGGTTGGTTGAACCAGGCTGAAAAAAACGATGTTTGTCCTGTGCATTGTATTCATATACAATATTCAGTTGTCACCCCCTTATATATAATTATGTTGTGAAGTCCCCGGCCGCTGCAACAACCGAATTCTTGGATGAGAACATTCTCATCAAGACCCAAGAAGTGCACGGAATACGATATTCACAAGTTATCATAACTTACTAGCACATTTCAACAGGTGTTTGATAAACATTAGCAAAGATCAACAAAAACATCAACAAAACCATGCCAAAATCTATCAGAAGCCGCTCCAATTTATCGCCACAGGCTGGAGCTACTACCGTTTGGCCGAACATTTCTCATGGTGGGGCCATGGTGGCACATCTTCCCAGGCACAAAAATTGAGGAAAAAAACACCCGGTTTTCAGAGAAACCCATGTATGAAATGTGGGAACTTTCAAAAATGCCAAGTTGAAACATATACCCTCCAGTTATTTAACATAGCCATGGAAAATCACCATTTTTCAGTTCGGTAAACCATCTATTTCTATGGGCCATTTTCCATGGCTATGTTAAATCACCAGAGGGTATGTTTTATTTACGCATATTTACGCCAGAAATGAGTGATTTAGTAAGGGTGCACCCAGCTTCTGTGCGCTGATGCGGTTTCACCATGTTTCACCTATGAAAAATCTGGGCCACCCAGATACCCAACTCATAACATGCGTTAACAGTAAAGATAATTGACAAGTAAAGGGATGTCAATAGATGTGATATAAATCAACACATGAAATCGTATACTAACGCAAACAAAACTAACTCAATCCCAAGATGACCCATATCAAGAAGTAATATTAACACATTTTAGAAACCATTTAGAGTATAATGACAATACTATAATGATATGTATATATATATATATCACTATATCATGATAATGCCACACTACTATAGTAATACTACGCGCTAACACCATCGTTTGACCAAAAATTCAGATGCCACCACATGTACATATATCTTAAGATAACTATCAATACATGTTGATCCGCATAACAAGATCCTATATGTTGGGATATTGATCATACCATACGGATCAATATATATATATAGATGCATGGAAATTGTACCATGCTTGGATACATATCATACCATGTGGGGTCTCTGTTCTGAATCAATGTTCACCCATATCTGAAGTTCATGGCAACATTGACACTTCGCCGTGCCGCAGCAACATACAGTCGCGGCCCAAAGGGCATGAAGGCTTGGCAGCTCTTGTTGGATTGGCTCACGCCAGCCGAGTGGGCCCGTCTCACCCGCGCAGCGGTGGGAGTCTGCCGAGAAGTTCAGTGGGTCAGGACGGTAGCCCGGAATACTCACGGAAACACTCGGCGATGCTACAACAAATTATTGTCTTATTCTAATATTCCCATCTTCTCGATGACCCCTGAAAGATATATATCATTACCATTTATAGTTGGGGGAGTTGGGGGGGTTATCCTGCTTGTTCATCATCATTTCAGTACGACGATGATGATCCTTCCCGGTGCGCGCAAACGATGGCGTTTGACCGTAATACTAGTAGTATTTGTTAAATCATCATCAATAATGATAGCAATATGCAATTTATAGTTGCATCATACATATGATAAATTATCATCATATAAATCTGGTGATGATAATCATCCTCTTCAGACGCATCGTCGCTGCACCAGGTCAGTGCCCGGTCTGGCGCCCTTCGCGGCACCGCTCGCCTCGACGGCCTTGGCACGGATCGGTCCCTCGACGGCATCCCGGTGGCGCAGCGGACGGTCACGGAGGACTTCGCGCTGGACTCGTGACCCGGCAAGTGGCGGTGCCGGCATGGGAGTTTTCGACCGTGATATATTTCTTAGTTGGTGAACAATATGGTAGATATATCTGGGTATCATGGTTCATGTACATATATACATATTATTACATATTTATATATATATATATATATCAGTTTTTTAAAAACCCATCAGGATCCAGTAAGTGTGGATATTAATCTACCACTATTATGATATTTTTTTAAAACCAACTTGGCTAAGTATGGGGCACCACCTTGCAGTGACTCAGGAAGTCAACTCTCAATCATGGCTGGGAAATCCCCGAAAGAAATGGGGGGATTGTCCATTTCCATGTTTGCTTACCAAAGGGCAAAACCGTGATCAGGTTCAGTAACTGTGACAACATAGGAACCCTTTGGCCATGTTGTGGAGGTATGTTTTCGGAATATCTTGCTGTGTTAGATTATCCAACGGGATATTTCCAGGGGATTTACCAGCAATAATGAGACAACCCAGGATTAATAAACCCTTTAGTGCAGACTGATAATGGTCAATTTTGACTAGCACGCTGCAGAACGCGGCGAAATCAGTTTTTGGACCCCTCAATCAGTCAACGGAGGTTGACATTAATGTTATTCTCACGCCGCCCAAGTCTCGCACGCTGCAAGGCTAAGGTTCAGACGGCGGCCATGGTTTACCATAGAGCCGAGGTGCCAGACTAAATGGCACCAGCTAAGTCACTAGCCAGAACAAAAGCCGGCCAGAGGCGAAAGCGCAGCAGCGCCAGGTCATCCACTTCTGAGCGAGATCTGAATGGTTAAAAACTCAACGCCAGAAACAATAGGGCAGCAGCCACTACGTCAAGGCTCAAAAGATCAGGGGCACAAGAATCATTGAAAATGAGGACATGTCGAAGCACCATGTGCATTGTTTTTCCTCATGACCAAACCACTCTTGAAACATTGCCAACTGAAGCGAAGTCCCATCTGCAACACGTTGCAAGATCTCGCAGAAGAGATTTAGGAGTAGCCGTCCGCTGAGAGCACTTCAGCATTTTGTCATTTTTAAGAAGACGAGGCCATAAACTGCAGACTGCGCCATGAGTACAACAACACCGGCTGCCGTCAGTAGTTGTCTTGAACAGGCACCACTAAAAAATTACAATAAACAACTATCAGAAAAACTCAGAAAAACAATAAACAGAAATAAGAAACTAATAGATGGTTAATAAGATCTGAAAAGATAAATTGTAAATTGCAAATTCATAAAACAACAAAGTTAAAACCAATAAAAAGATGAACAGATTTATCAAATGAACGGTGCTAATGGTGAATCATCTATTTTCTAATCTCACCTCATCATATTGTGGTATCTACAGGCAGCGCAGCCCACAACGACACTGACAAGGGCAGTTGCTGATCTTCACCAAGGCTGCAGTGACAGTGAGCAAAGTGGCAGAGAAATTCATAGGTTCCGAACCCAAAGCCAAACACCCACGCACTTGAGACTTGCTATCCGAGAAGAAGCTGCAGAACGCAACTATGAGGATCAAACTAAGATGCCCTGCTTGATGCGTCGCACAAGCAAACTCCTTGAAGGTTGAACCCAAGATGTTTGACGTTAATGTTAAAACATATTAAAACTATAGGTGAAACATGTTGCGATAACCTATAATATCTTATGATATGGAGGAAAACCGTTCATCGTTATAACCCATTGGTTTATTATAATTTGGGAAACGAAATCAAGTGTATACTATGTTTATGATCATTGTTACCATTTTGGGAGGAACATAAACCGTTCAAAAAAAAATGACACCATTGATATCGTTTTATATACCCTCTGGCTATTTAACATAGCCATGGGAAATGGCCCATTTATAGTGGATACCTATTAAAAATGGTGATTTTCCATGGCTATGTTAAATAACCAGATGGTATCCATCAATGAATTGTGGATGGGGACGGACTTTCTGCGTGAAACAGAAAGCATGATGGTGCTGTAAGCCTTGAAGGTAGCGGACACGACCCTTGGAATATACCGCCCAAGTATTTCTGCACTTGATTCATGACTTTTCTTTGCCTGGCCAGCAAGAGCGGGGCCTATAGAAAGGTGGTAGCATATACAGTAAATATATGTAAGGGTGTATAATCCATTCCAGACCTTATAAACCCGGCCCATGCCCATATAAACCCATATAAACCCATTACCTATTACAGATACCTCTATAGCTAATGGGTTTTATAAACCAACAATAACTTATTTTCTTGGGGACACCACCTTGTAGATCCTCAATGATTCTCAGATAAAATCTTCGCATGCCATTGACGCAAGTCGTTGGTTGAGGTTCCAGAACCTTCTGTTTTCCTTTTGCCGCTTCAAGGTTGGGGGTGTGGGGCTGACCCCAGCTGGGAATGATGGGAAATGGAACGGTGGAACCACAGTGTGAAACCCTCAGTACTCGTAGAGCGCCGCCAAGGCGAAGATCACAGTGGTTTGGGGGCTTCGGCTCTCTGAATACCCATTCAGAGCTGTGAGACTAGAAACAAGTGTGAGGGCATCATCTCCTTCATGGTGGAGATATGGTTTTACTTTCGAGCCGGATGGGCTAGGAAATCCCGGAACAAACATGGAGGTGTTGGTCAGAACGAAATGGAGGGTAAGGTATATCTGGTTGGTGGTTTGGAACATAGGGAAAACCATTGGAAAACCATGGAAAACTATGGGAAAATTGTGATTTATCTGGAACATCGCCATTTTTTAGTGAGTAAATCAACTACTGGTTGGTGGTTTGGAACCATGGAATTTTATGACTTTGCATATAGGGAATAGTAACCCCAACTGACGAACTCATACTTTTCAGAGGGGTAGGTATACCACCAACCAGATATGAGATTTGCATATCCACATAGATTATGTCCTGCAGTTTCCAAGATGTTTCATCAGAATCTCACCGGAAGCCTTGGAATTGCAAATGACATAGTGTCCAACACATGTTTCCCTCAGATCCAACATCCACAACATCCAAATCCCTCAGATCAACTCAGTTCACAACATGTTGTAGGAGGTGGTTGGACATTATCCGCAACGAGTCAACTGGAACCGATGGAAGCATGATGGGCTGGAGGGTGGGTCCATGATTGGTTTAAACTGCCATTGGAGTTGCTAGAGATCCTTAGTACATCTCTGGTTTATAGTGGCTAATAATGGTTAATAACAATGGATATTACATATAATATCTGCTTGGTGGTTTGGAACCATGGGCTTTTATGACTTTCCATTCAGTTGGGAATGTCATCATCCCAACTGACGAACTCCATCATCTTTAAGAGGGGTAGGTATACCACCAACCAGATCAAAGATAATCTAAGTATGTGTTTACGCCAAACAAAAAGTTCGCTTGTACCATTGGAAAAGTGATCCTCCAAGCTCAGGCTTTTGCCATCTACTTCAAGCAACGAGTTGAGATTCTCAGAACTAGTTGAGATGACCATCTCCATCATCCCAAGCTACGTTTGTTGGCTGATTCACCACCAATATTTGTAGCTTGTGTACATCATGGATTGAGTGGTACAGGGGTTCCGATATTTGTCCTACATGTTCCTTATGTTTTAACTTCCCATTTTTGTTTTTCCAACATGTTTCCTATTATATATATACAGTACTTTCCCGACATATTTCCAACATGTTCCATTTTGTTTCTAGATATCAATGGAAGGTGACCAGCAAGGTGCTGTCCTCCCAGTTATGTGTGTAGGTTTAGCCCTTTGAGTATGGTGACCCATATATATATATATATATTTACATATATCTATCATAAACCATGCTTAAGCTAGTTATACAAAATTGAACCATGAACCCACTTAGCTAACCAATCACAGGGGCACCACAAGTGTAACTGTTGAACCCGCTGCGAGTTCATCAGGTCACCGTGATCAGTTTCGGCTTTAAGAAGCGCCGCTTCGCTGAGCTGCATCGCTCTGCCTTGCGCTTTCCAGCCTCGAGGCGGCGGGTTTTGTAGAGCGGCTATGTTGGCTAAGTTGGGGTATAAGTCTAATAACATCTAATAATCTAATAACCAGGGATTATGATAGATATATCATGACATAGACCAGCCCATCTAATAACCAGGGATATAACATCTAATAACCAGGGATTATGATAGATATATCATGATATAGACCAGCCCATCTAATAACCAGGGATATAACATCTAATAACCAGGGATTATGATAGATATATCATGATATAGACCAGCCCATCTAATAACCAGGGATATAACATCTAATAACCAGGGGTTATGATAGATATATCATGATATAGACCAGCCCATCTAATAACCAGGGATATAACATCTAATAACCAGGGGTTATGATAGATATATCATGATATAGACCAGCCCATCTAATAACCAGGGATATAACATCTAATAACCAGTGGTTATGATAGATATATCATGATATAGACCAGCCCACCTAATAACCAGGGATATAACATCTAATAACCAGGGGTTTTGATAGATATATCATGGTATAGACCAGCCCATCTAATAACCAGGGATATAACATCTAATAACCAGGGGTTATGATAGATATATCATGATATAGACCAGCCCATCTAATAACCAGGGATATAGCATCTAATAACCAGGGATTATGATAGATATATCATGATATAGACCAGCCCATCTAATAACCAGGGATATAACATCTAATAACCAGGGGTTATGATAGATATATCATGATATAGACCAGCCCATCTAATAACCAGGGATATAACATCTAATAACCAGGGGTTTTGATAGATATATCATGATATAGACCAGCCCATCTAATAACCAGGGATATAACATCTAATAACCAGGGGTTATGATAGATATATCATGATATAGGCCAGCCCATCTAACAACCAGGGATATAACATCTAATAACCAGGGATTATGATAGATATATCATGATATAGACCAGCCCATCTAATAACCAGGGATATAACATCTAATAACCAGGGGTTATGATAGATATATCATGATATAGACCAGTCTAATAACCAGGGATATAAAATCTAATAACCAGGGATTATGATAGATATATCATGATATAGACCAGCCCATCTAATAACCAGGGATATGACATCTAATAACCAGGGATTATGGTAGAGATATCATGATATATCTGGTTTATGGTATATAGAGATATCATGATGTATCTATATATATATAGTTAATGGTTTACATAATTTTACATACCAGCTTCCAGCTGGGGGGTGCATGATCAAAAGTGATAAAATTTAAGTGACTTATGGTTTATATGTCACTATGTCTGTTGTTTCTTTTAATTGCCTTCGTGTATTTTTCTCATCGTCTGCTATGGAAGCCATGGGAGATTTTGTCAATTCCCACAAGTCCGAGGGACAAAATCGCAGCAAACGTATAGACATGATGGTTACCCTCTGGTTATAACACCATAGATGGTTTACCTATTAATAGCATGGTGATTTTCCATGGTTATGTTAAATAACCAGAGGGTAAATGATCCATTTCTTGATTACTCTTCGACTTGACAGTTAAAGATAGGTAGAGGCATTGTTTGTTTGTAAACTATTTGTAATAAACATCGGGCTACACTTGACAGCCAGATTGGTATCTATATATATATAGATGTAACCATTTTTTTTGCAGGGATATACTGCCATATTATATGTACGTATGTATATATATATAGTATATAGATATAATATATGTGGATACATATTACATTGGTGATATGTGGAGATATAAGTAATCATACGAGATTTGTTTGGTTGAGATGGTTTTGGATGGTTTGATTCCCATTACAATATATATTTGGCAGCAATTGTAGAGTCCCAGTCGGGCACTGAATTAGAACAACCTGTGGGTGTGCTCCTCTTCTTGCAGTAGTGAACAGGGCCTTGATTTAAGTTGGTGAATTATATATCCTTTTGCCCAGATCTATGGGGCTGTTCGCCGGTTTGATAATCGGTGGTAAATGTTAGAATGGATATGTTAATCATTTCATTCTGTAAGCTTTTTCATGACACTGTCAAAACGACCAACAAGAGTAAATGTAAGTTGAAACCAGCAGCAACAGGGACGTCACCAAACGGACGCCTTGGCTCTCGCGTGCAAGAAAGCCTTGCGATTTTCAACTGAGCATGGCCCCGAATTCGGTACACCTGAAGCCTCCCAACATATCCCACATGCTCCATGTATGGAATATTTACCAACATTTGCCCCATAAATGATCCAAATGTAGGTAAATATACCATACATGGAGCATATGGGATATGTATGGGTTCAGGGTATGACTAATTTTGGCAGTCAGAATGTCAGACCCGTCAGATCCCCAAGCGCACACATTGCTCTACCCTCAATCAAACATGGCAATGGAAAGTCTCACATTCATAGATAATTTTCCAATTGCAACCTCTTTTTATAGGGATTTCCCAGCTAGCCATGTTTGATTATCGGGAGGGGATGTTCATTGTAAAAACTACACGTATCATTGTGTCGTGGCATCAGGATGGCATCAGAAAGACCCATGGTCGAAACCATTTTGCCGACCAAAAACTGCCAGTGAAGTGGCAACCAGCCTCTTTTTGTGGAGAGTTTCGCCCAGGGGCGAAATTGAGAAAAACGATTTAGTGGCAGCTTCCCATTTAGATCGTTTTTTTACCAAACCCCTGGCCCTTCATATCCGATATGTGTAGCTTGATTGGTTTTGATCCCTATACATATGTTTCATTATATGCTGTGTATACCATCTGGTTATTTAACATATTGAGGCCAGCGCTCTCAGCGCCCACAAATCTCGTAAAAAATGCTATGTTTTGAGCATTTTCTGACATGTGTGTCCAAGTCTGTAAGCAATATGTACTGTTGCCTTTTCCAGCCACCAAATAGCGCCAATACTAAATAACGCTATCAACGGTTCTATGTCATTTAGCCAGTGAATATCAGAGAGAAAATTCAATTTTGCCCTGTTGCGCCATGCTCAAATGATAGGGTTGTGTTTGCTTCTATGTCGCAGGTTTTTATAGCAAGCATGAACAAGAGGAAACAGCACTTTTGATTGACAGAAGATTTCATTTTGTCCCCAAGCAGTACTGCATCTTCCTGACAGAGCTCCCTACATAAGTCGTGGCATGCCTCTATGCAACATTCTTCTATAGAGGGAGCAACATTCCTTTGAGAAAGTGTAAAGCAAGACCCTGAGATGTGCATAGCATTCCTTTAGAACAAGTGCGTTCTGTCTTCCATATATTTTAATGAACATATGTAATTCCTTCCATAGAGGTAGTAGTCCTTTTAGAGAAGGGTAGCATTTCCTTAAGATAAAATATGCATATACATTAGTGTTTTTCAGAAAAGCGGCATTCCTTTCAGACAGGACTTGATGGTTTCATGAAAATATTATTCATTTGGAAAATACAATATAATTTTCAAATAACATAATTCACTGTATGATATGATTAACTATATATATATATATATACAGTTACACACAATATTCCTTTCAAAAGTATGCAGCATCTCTTTGAGAAGTAGCCTTCAAGACACACAGCAGTCCTAGTGAAAGAGTATGGCTGAGTGAAAACATTTTCAAGGTAAAACCACCCCTATAGACAGGCGGTACAATAAGCAAAACCACCAAAAAAACACAAAAACCGAAAAAACAAAAAAACAAAAAAAACAAAGATCCAGCAACTATGAGCCCCCCAACCTTTCTCTGGAATCTTTGTTTTTTTTGTTTCTTTTCGGTTTTCAGTTATGGAGTTTAATTTTGTGTAGGGAATTTTGTTCTTGGGGTTTGCCTGTGGGAGATGCAATGTTGAAGTGACAAGTGCAGCCATATTTTTTTTTCTGGATGGGTAGATTCATGGAGAAAAGTGGCAAAAGGAGACTGCCCAAAACGTGGGCGCTCACAACGCTGCTTTCAGGTAACATAGCCATAGAAAAGCACCATTTTTAATAGGTAAACCATCTATAAATGGACCATTTTCCATGGCTATGTTAAATAACCGTAGGGCATATATATATATATATATCACTAGCGAGTTGTGCATGAAACCAATAGCTATATCCCTTAAGATGTCCAACAGTGGTCTCAGCATGACAACGATGATCGGCGTTGTCCACGGCCACAACCGGCAGGTTTTCATTTGTCGGCATTCAACCACCTCCAGGCCGGGGAAGAGGCCCCCAAATGGCTATCTGATGGGGAAAATGATGATGATCAACTATGTATAAGTGCTCCATTTTAAGCCGAACCAAGACATATACATATGTATAAGATTGTACAAGTACATGCATTATATTATACATAATATATATATATTATATCCTATTCGCATGTTTTCTGTTGCAACCAGTTAATCATCGCCTTGTCCCTTTGTGAGGTTCACGCTTTGATCTGGCTAGGGCTAAGCAGGGCGAACTGCAGAAACTGGGCGAACTGCAGGGCTGCAGGGCGGACACGGGGACTTGGGCATTGTAGACTGGATGGTAACCCCCAGAAAAGAATCAAAACGGTAATTGGAAAATACATATCACTGGATGTACACTACTATACATTACATACATTATAATATACATATATTATGGAAATTGTCACTGTTTTAGTTCGGGAGAAAACAATCTTAGGTAGCGGTCCTAAGGGTTGGAATTCATTGGAATTCATGGCTGGAATAGCCAAGTAGGCAAGGCACAGGATTCAACCGATGCTGAGCTTCCCAGTAGAGCTAGTCCTGCTGTAATTTGGTTTATTACCCTAGCTTTATGTGGCGGCGAAGCCAAGAATGAACCACTGGTGAAAGGTGTTTAAAATCCTCAGTTTTAATGTGTTCCGGTTTCCTGTTTCTGTTTAAGGCAATTGAAAGCAACGGCTTGAACAGCCGTGTCAGAAGAGGCTCACAACGTGACAACTGCAGAATAGTAGTTCAAAACCTAACAGGACCTACCATAAGGAACCCCGATGTTTTGTTTTAAAGGCTAGACCATCCCCTCTATATATACATATACATATATATATATAGATATGTATATATATATATGTATGTATATATATATATGTATATGTATATATATAGAATGTGTTTTTTACATGTCACGCAGAAACCAAAGGATCTGTCACCAATTGGAAGGCAAATCACTAGTCACTAGTCTCCTGGTCAACTAAGAAGATCAGCAGCAATCGACCCCCATGGGCTATGACATTTATATATATATATGTTTAAGAACCAACCGGTTCAACATGTCTTTCACCTTCAATAGCCATGATAGCAGTGGAGATTTATCTCCGGTCAATTTGTTTTGCAAGAATGGTGTGAAAGATTTGACATGCCCATCATGTAAATCAGCCAATAGATGTTTTTTCTATGATTTTCCCTGTAAACCATCCATTTTGATCCATTTTGGGTATCCCCATGACTATGAAAACCCCCATATTAGCTGCTGCTATAGCTGTGCATAGCTATGCCGAGACATGTCGGTCTCACTGGATATCCGATTTATATATATATATATTATTACATACACTAGTACATGGGTTATAAACGATTATGCTGTCTGGAATGCAGGTCCACATTTTTTCTTTTGGAGAGTATCCAAGATGGGCACATCCGACGTTTCAAGGAACTCGCTGCAGTTGTTCGAGTCCGATCCTTATGGTTGCCATTCGCAGGCGGATCCGGATCGCGGATGGGAGATCCACAGCATAGATGTCCCAAATTCATCCAAATTCCCATTGGTTGGTTGATGAATAGAGGGGTTTGAAGGTTTAGCCCTTTAAAGGTAAATGATGATATATGGGATTAACCAGCTCCCGGCCCAAACCTAATTTTTACCAAACGGACATTATTGTGGAGCATAACCAGCAAAATATGATTTGTGAACTAGCTAAATTAGCAAAGATTGACCATGAAACATGTGGGTTGTTTCAATATCGCTGGTGACAGCGGGATATGTGTTGTGTGAATCTTTTTGCGCCATGCCAGTGAGATTCTCCGAAAGTCTAATCCTTTGGAATTTGGGGTACCCAATGTTCAGACAAACCTAAGTGGAGTATATCATGACCATGTTAGCTGAGGATTTAAGACAATTTTCCACCTATTCATACATTTCTGGGTAGATATGATATGTTTCAAACATGTTTGACATAGGTTTCCGGATGCTCGGAAGGCCATGAGAAGACGTTCGGCAAATCATATCATATCATTTCTGCATCTAGATAGAGTTCGTTTAAGCATCTTTTTCTCCAAGTATTGACTATAGACATATGATCTACCACAAGCCCAGCACTTATCAGCACTTATCAGCACTTAAGCTACTGAACTGTGCACTTGGCGCGGGTTGTTTCGCGCTTCTCCCAGATGCTGGTGGAGAAGAGAAGAGCTCGAAATCCATTTCAGCGCACCGCCCCCTATTTGCTCTCCTGCCACTGGTCGTTGTTCGATGGTTTTTTTTTGTCCCGAGGATCGGATGGGCTCTTCAGCTGGAGGGGTTGGACAGAATCTCTGAGATGCCTCGACTTCTGAGATATGTGATATGTTAATTATACCCTGGTAATTTAACGTAGCTATGGAAAATCACCATGGTTAATGGGAAAATCCACTATAAATGGTCATTTTCAATAGCTATGTTAAATTACCAGAGGGTATTTGTTGTATACAATTCCAAACTAGGACATACCCCAGGAGATGTTCCACTGTCGTTACGAGACACCCTGAACTTTTTTTGGGGACGTCTTAGTTGTAGATTTCAAATACCCTCTGGTAATTTAACATAGCCATGGAAAATGGTCCATAGAAATAGATGGTTTACCTATTAAAAATGGTGATTTTCCATAGTTTTTTGTATGTTTACCAGGCCGGGTATCTTCAAATGTTTCTGGAGTTCTGGAGTCAGATGGCTGGAACTGGCTGGAACATCCACCGAAAAAAATTCCCCATGACTTGGACCAAAGGTCCAGAGATCAAGGACTTGTTGGAGTGGTCTCTTGGTGGCGAGACGACAGCGGAAAATCCCAAGATCCACGCTGCTATGATTTGGCTACGCATCTTGTAAGATGTTTAGAGAACAAAATAGAACACGGGCATTTGTAACTGGTTGGTGGTTTGGAACATCTTTCATTTTTCGTACATTGGGAATGTCATCATCCCAACTGACTAATGTTTTTCAGAGGGGTTGAAACCACCAACCAGATAATCATTTATGTCTCTCGACGTTTGTGTTCATGTCTCCCCAAAACAAGCACATGATCTTCGGTGCTTTTCAGGCGCATTGGTTCTGTGAAGTTACCAGGTCGTCCTTCCTATGACCGCTATCGCCACAAGTTCTACCAAGTTCTTGTTGAGCGATGCGGCAATATCCCAAGCTACAGTTTGTGCTTAGAACATCTCAGGATCTATGTATGGATAATATATATATATATATATATATACACATATTTAAGATTATATACGTACGTTATACATATATTGTACGCGTAAAAACATATATATATATATACATGTCCATACTTGGAGTTATTTTCTCAATAGCCCAACAGTCTTTAGGACAGAGATTTGCCATGACAAGCCAGCAAGTGAGCAACAAAGTTCCCAGCCCTTGAAGAAATCACCTCAGTGGTCAGTAAACCGCATTCCCAGACTTGGTTTACAGGGAAATTGAAAGGAAAACCATCAGAAACAGTCAGAAAGGACAGCTTTGATTCTTAAAATCCCTAAAAAATCCCTAAGATTTGTGTTTTGCCCTATTGTAGATCAAAAGCCCCTGGATTTGATGACCAAAATCTCTCCAACATCACTCCAATCTGTCGCCTCAGGTGTGGTCCAGGTATTTTCCGAGGCAACCTGCCCTGGACGAAGAATTAGGAGCTGAGGAGCTGAAAAAAGGGCGATGTGGCTGGAGTGTGCAATGTGGCAGACGTGGGCGATTTGGTCATTCCCAAAATGGTTTCCAGAGAGAAAATTAAAATCTATACAGTTATGGCATGTTATGGCATGTTATGGCATGTTATGGCCCTTTACCAGTTATAAGTAAGTTATAGTTATCAGCATGAGACTGGAAGAACATTGAGTCACAGTTGGATTTTTTAAGCCAAAATGGCCCGCCAGCCCCAGTCATGGTTAAAACTGTCTCCTTGGACTCCATGGGATGCCTAGAGGCGCAGGCTCAGAATTGGTGGATGGTCAAGGGAAAATTTGCCACCTGCCCATATTTACCAACGTATTCTGGGAAGAAACCTGGTTTCGGAATGCTTCGGATTCAGTTGTTGCTTAAACTGTTAAACCGAACCAATAAACCACCCAGTAAAGCGTGGTGGTGTTGCAACACTCCAGCTGAGTAGGGCAATGGTTCACTTCTTGAGGCGCTTCAGCAACAGCCCGTTTCAGACCCTGGAATGCAGGGCGGCAGTCATGGCCAGACACCAAATCCATAGAATAATCATTGGCCTCAGGGCGGGCTTCCTCCATTGAAAAAAGGTATAATTCTTTGGGGCACTGTATAGCGATATACCAAGTTTTCATACATACACACATGTTACCTCAATTCACTGCTGCTCTGATGACCTCGTTGACTCCCGAACTCTGGCTGTGGCTGCGGAGTTTGTATCACTTCAGCTGCGTCTTAGCTTGATAGACCGGTGTCCCATAACAATGAAAGCGTTGCAACGGGAGGGCAGACGTGATGAGACGTGAGGTCATGTTTCACTCGATGGTATAACCAGAAAAGCAGATAAGGTATAATTTGATGTGGAGACTTGTATCATTTTAGTGGACGCTCTATAACTCTACAATGTATATATACCTTATAACTTATACACAATTTTGCGGGGGCTAATTAGGTTCAGCTACTTTCATACACTTTCATAGTTTGTGATTCTGCCTACTTCGCGAGTAGGCAATAACATTTTGATCTCAGAAGAAAATCAATCCCGATTTCATGGTGACTGTATAAAAACGATGTTCGTGAGGATAGACCAAAATTGAAAACTCCGTGGTTTGTAAGCTACGAGGTCCTTGGTCCCTTGGAGAGCAGGATCTCCCAACTGCGGATGGTTGATACGGATTGATACGGGGGGTTGGCATATCACTAGCTTGGGGACCCTGAGGACCCCTCTAATTATTAAAACAATAACACATTGAGCTTCATCCATGTTCATCCTGGGTGGATATTTGTTGGATTAGATTTTGGGGTCCCAAATGTCGAGACCGTCACACAGGTGAATCATGGCATTGCAGCAACCAAAAATCACAATGAATGAAGGAGAGAACCACCAGAAAATCACCAAACGATTCGATTCAGGTTTGTGAACTGTAATTCTGCCAATTGATGCGGTCAACCTAATTCCATAAACCGACAAATTGATAATGGTTAAAAGACCTTACTGGTTGGTGGTTTGGAACATTGTTTATTTTTCCATATAATGGGAATAGTAACCCCAACTGACGAACTCATATTTTTCAGAGGGGTAGGTTGAAACCACCAACCAGAAAACTTTTGGAGCCCTCAAAGATCCTAAGATCCAATTCTTGATCATAATTGTTCCCATGTTTTGATGGATTATCCCAACTAGTCTGAGACCATGATCAGATTATGACGCGATCACTTTGATGTTAATGTAGAACCACCATCTTTGAGGACTGCCCATTGATTTGTTCGGTGATTTTAGGGAACACAGTCCAAAACAACATCAGAAGACCCAGGAATTTTCCATGGGAATTTCAGGGAAAGACCTTGGTTTCCGGTTTAGAACTTCCGTTAAATCACTGCATTCTCATCAGCTCTGCAGCTGACCTTTTTCTCAAGCCCAGCTCAACATCTACAGCCAAGACGCGCCATCCTTGTCGTGTGCCAGGCCAGGAAAATTGTGGCCACGACGGGTGCCCAACCCAGTGGGCCCAGTGGATCTAGAGATGGTCGCTCCCCAAATCTCCAGAAACTCACAAAGTGTTGATGTTTATCCACAGGAACCAAGATTCAACAGAAATCATGTAATTTGGCACCGGAATCTTGCAACTCCCAAGAGGTCAGTCTTTCGGAATTGTCGAGCTGGTTTTTGATTTGGTTTCGGCTCTAGGTCCTGTAGGTGGTACACATTTGTTTGGTCAACCAGGAATTTGTTGTGGGAATCAGAGAAAAATCACACCTGGCAATTTCTTGTTTCTCTACCAGCTTGCTTATACCTCCAGCTGCGGTGTCCATTTTTGGACACGAGTCCTTGCTTACGTGCAGGGTGCAAACTTTTTTTTCACTATGCCTGCTTCGAAAATCGCTTCAGACATGCACCAAAGTTATAAATCACCAAACATGAATTCCAAAAGTACATGTTACATCACATTCCAGGAACTATCCTGAAATTTGAGTCCCCAAACATGAATTACAAACTTGTGCAGCGTTCGAAGCATCCCTGTTGCTTCATTTGGGGTCGCCCACTCGCAACCCATGATGCCACCTGACATCCACAGATGAAGCAGTCCTTCGCCCATCCATATGGCCGGATGCCTAGCTGATGAAATGTGGACGGGTCAAAATCATGCAAAATCATGCGAACTCCATCATTTGGACATGAAGGTGGGACGTAGAGTTATGGCCCGAAATACCAGTAAGTTAGTTTTATAAGTTATAATTTAGGGGTAAAGTTATAACCCCATGATATGGTCATATAACATAACCCCATTTATGGCCATAGCTGATGTGAATGATCTAGGCGCTGGCGTTGGTGCGCCGGGTGCCTTCCCACGCTTCCCACCGCCCTTGGTTTCTTGGCTGAGAGCCGGCCGTTGTGAGTCGTTGGGTTTTTTCTGGAAAACCTCCCTGGCCCTTGTTGTGAATGGTGCCATGGAGGTGTTGGGGGAAAATCATCGATAAATGGGGATTTTGTGGGTTTTATGAGTGGAAAATGGTGTTCAAATGACTTCAATTCAGCTGGGTGAATGACTATAATCTAGCTATAGATGAGTAGTCACCGTGCTTCCATCATTTTGGGCAGCAATTCCAGGTAAATGATGAGTAAAACATATACAGCAGAACTGGACTGGACAAAACAACCCATGGCTCCGCGGCTCATGGTTGTTTTGCCGGTTCTAGAGATCTCCAGGCTTGTGGGCCCCATCGCCAACCAAACGGATAGCTAGTTTAATCCCTTGGCGTTTGTTTCTATGGAAAATTGGAAAATAAGCATCACCAGCAAAAGATGATTATTTGGTGGACTAGCAATAATTACAACAGTTCCAAATTCCGGCTTCTGTGTCGTCGTCGCAGCAAGTGGTTTCTCTCATTGCGGAACATATCCAAAATAGTTTGCTGTTTGGTGGTTTGGAACATTTTTTATTTTTCCATATAATGGGAATAGTAACCCCAACTGACTAATATTTTTCAGAGGGGTTGAAACCACCAACCAGTTTAAATATCCTCAGCAGATTCCAAGTATCCCAAAATCTCCCAACACATCCATGTAACATATTGTAAACAATTCTTGTAAAATATATATATGCCCTTTTTGTACACATCCCAACTGACCCTTGAAAAC